TGGCGCAATCACCGAGACGCGAGCCATCGAACCACAGCGACAACAACTGATAACGACCTCGCGTCTGCTCAACAAGAACAGTTCTTAAGGATTTTTGGATTATTTTACTTAATATTTCGTTGATGTTTGTTTAAAAAATGTTTTAGAATACGAATTGGTCTTCATACTTATAATGTCATGCGTAAATTACTGATCTATTAGTGATAACATCGTTATTCGTTTTAATTAACAGCAATTTTATGAGAAAAACTAACAAAACGAGTGTAGCGAAATGTTAAGAAGTACTCTGCAATACCCACTTGATCAAAGTTCGATTCTCCAAGAGAACCCAGGCCCATATTTGTCTGTAGTCAACCAGTTTGTTCGACCTTGTCTGAGACGATAAAAAACATAGCTTGCTTCATCGCTGTAAAGTTGTTGATAGCGAATCAGCAACAGAGCAGCATAACATTTATGGAGAAGATAAGCGTTCAGAACAAAACTAAGTTATTTCTTCCTGTCGCTCATTATGTATGGATAACGCACGTAAAAGGCTGTAAACCTAATTCTCTTCGTTTTCTTCCACTCCTGAAAGTGAAGAGTCTTTAAAGGATTTTAACAAGAAACTGAACTTACTTACTTGAATACTTGGATGCTCCGTCTTCACTGGTTGTATAGGTTCCAGCATAATCTCTATTTTTCGGAGTTTTGCTAGTTTAGCCATTGCGGTTCCTTGGACTCCCGAGACAGCTTGGCCAAAGTCTGCAACAGGTCTTCACTACCACAGGCAGTCGCAGCCCTTGTGGATCAAAAAGAGATTTGCCACCATTGCCACCTTGGTACCAGAACGGTGGTGGATTCTGGTATTGGTATACTCTTAGCTAAATCTTCTGGTGGAAACGCCGGACTCCTTCTCAGCTTGTGAGACCCTGCCGCAGGGATGTATCCACCCGCTGTACATCACAGTCCAACACCCAGGAACACCTCTCAGCCACGATGAGGCGGTAAGCTGTTGGGAGGGAAATCAATCCAATTCTGAAAAGGAACTACTGCATAAAATTGTGAAAAGTTTTGCTCATATCTCAGCATCATTGTGGTCGCATTTCGCATAATACTGTACCATAAAAAATGATGGGAAATAGAGGGAAGTTGCGCTCTATTACAAAAAAGTTTGCCATTCGTTTGTCTTGAGTTTCCAAGTGAAGCTGTGGTCCATTCTGTTAAAATGTGCCCATTCCAAGAAATTGCAAAGAATGCCAACCATCGAAGTGGCAATTAAGTAAAAGAGCTGCTTGAATCGCATTGATTAGAGAGCTCGTGCAATTCACGCATGAACGCACGTTCAATACTTTCCAAATCGACTCAAACGTCAATCATTCAATTCATAATGTTTAACTACTGTTTGTGGTGAAAATATGGGAATACTCTAGCATGACCAGCCAAAGATTTCATAGAGAAATTAGACCAGTACTCAGCAGTATCAATTAAGACAAAGCTCTCAGGTGACCGCTAACCCCATGTGCGAATCGGAAGATATTCGTGGAAGACAGATGCAATGCGGTGAGCCGAATATTTCCGGAGTTCGCTCATTGCTTGAAGACCGAAGACTTAATATAGAATGAAAATTTTGAAACAAAGACACGATTAGCAGGTTTTTTAATCATGCGGGTGATAGCTCTTAACCTCAACGTGATCGCAGTCATCTTAAAACCAGAACAGTGCTAATTTTTGTGAGGAATATCTGCGAATTGTTTGAAATGGGTTCATTTTAAGAGTCAGAAAGGTGTAAAACTTTCGTGTTAGCAGAGACTCTTGGCCGAATTTTTTTACATTCTGTCTAAATCCTATAAGGATAAAGTTTTCGATGCTAATCAATCCCTTAGGGATGCGTCATGCTTTCGACTTCATCTGAAACACGTTAGAGGTGATTGGACACCCTTTTGACTTCAATAATAATTTAGAAAAACAATCCGATGCATTATGTTAGTGCCTTTTACCCTTTCAGAGAAGTTTGGTGCAAAGTGGCTGATTCTAAAAAGATGGAGGCTTGATTTACTCAGGATACCGAATCAGATCAATTACATCTGCATTGCAGACATCTCACCAACTTGCTTCACACCTCTTTTTAACTGTTTCATTTCTTTTATTTTACATGACCCGGCATCAGATTCCATGCTGATCGCAGTGCTTCTTCCATTTGATTCCATTCCCCACACATATCACGGAGAACTTTGAACTTTTCCGACAACCTTGTATGTCACCGGAAAAAAAATTTTGGTTTCATTGTGACCCTTGTTGAACGTTGATCGAGCCAATCCTCTCTGGAATCTTGAGGTAGGTGTGCTAGGATACTCCTGGTCCTATAGATCTGAGGAAGCTCTTCAGTCAAGTCCAGTCAGGTCGAACTTTCAGACATCGAAGAGACGGCTTGACAATAGTTCTTAGGTGAGGGTGTTGAATCTCTTAAGCGGGGCCACTATAACTGCGCTGCCAACACAATCATTTCAAATAAGTGCAGTGGGTAGCACGTGAGCCCTTGCAAACAGTGGTCACGGTTCGATCTGGCCTGCAGTCCAAGTTTTTCTATTATCTCAACATCATTGTGGTTGCATTCTACATAATACCTTGCCGTGAGAGACAATAATAAGCAGTAATCTTAACTCTTTTATTTACTGCCTTTTTCTTCTTAATGGCAGGTTATGTTTCAAATTATAACTCGTATGAAATGCTGAGATATTTGCAAAACTCCGGACCACAGGTGTATGCACACCTGTGGTCCGGAGTTTTGCAAATATCTCAGCATTTCATACGAATAAGCAGTAAATAAGAAAATTAGAACATTGTGATCTCCTCTTTTATTATTTGCTGCTTCGCTTATTTAAATGAGGTCATCCATGGCATCAAAGAGTGTAAAGAATTTTATAACCACACACAAACAAGGTCTTACTTGATCTTATACGAATTTTAGCAAGAATTGCTTACATCAAAAATTGTTATTTTTCAATGGCGCAGTGAAAAAAAAAGCCAAAATAAGGATGCCAATGACACAGACCTTAATTTACGTCTTGTTTAATTAAGGCATATTTTAGCCTTAATATAGGCATTATGTGCAGAATATATCACTCCATTTGTTCGATCGCCCGTCTAGTATCTGTCATCCACGAGGTTTCTCAACGCGTTGGTTTGGCTCCCGCTTTCTGAAGTTGCCATCCAAGTGCTGGCCGGGTGTGGTTCTCTCTATAATCCCGGGATAACTTGCTCCATGAGTCAGATAACATGAGCCTGTTATAACTTTTCTAATATAGCTAACCTACCAGTCCGGTCCCATTATCTTCTTCGGAGCCGCAATGATTTGAGCCTATTGCTGTTGTATCTTACAAAGCGGATTTTTGAGGCTTGTCGAGTCAAATTCCTTAGAATGGAATAGCTCTCGAATAAAGCAACCTCATTCAGTAATGCGCTCTTATTTAGGACGGTTTCTGAATGATCGTCCATTGATGAGGATATATTTTCATGAATGTTCTCATCTTCCAATCCTTTTTCTACCTTCCTACTATATAGGTTCATTGCTAATAATGATATCATTACTTACTTGATACTTGAATGGCCCGTCCTCACTGGCTGTGCGAGCCTCAGCATAATCACCATTCATCGGAGATATGCTGGTTAAGCCATTGTGGTTACCTGGAATCCCGAGGTCAGCCTGGCCAAAGTCTGCCCCAGGTTTTCACCACCACAGGCAGTCGCAGCCTTTGTGGATCAGAGAGAGATTTGCCACCACGTGACTTTGATAGCAGAACGGTGGTGGATCGTGGTATTGGTTTACTCTTAGCTAGACTTCCTAATGGAAACGCCGGACTCCTCAGCTTGAGAGACCCAGCCGGCGGACGAATCTACCCGCTGGAAATCGCAGTCCGACACCCAGGGACACCTCCCAGCCACGATGAGGCGGTAAACCGTTGGGAGGATGATAATGTTATTACCAATATAATATCTTTTGTACCGAAATCGAAATGAGTATGAAAATAGGTCCCTAGTAATCGATCACAGATCCACTTATGAAGAACATCAAAAACTATTAACGAAGCGTCAGGAAGAAATGTCCAAAAGTCACCGTGTTCAAGTGCAGACAGAACTTTTCATTAGCTGGAATCTGACAAGAATTAACATTATTGCCAATTAAGACTAAGAATTACTCTATGAACAGTTGCGAATAATCAACAAGTGGATATACAGCACTATAGGGAAAGAAAACGAGCGAAGGACTCAAGAAAAATGAGAAGTGTAAGAATGGCAGAAAGAGAAAATAGGAGGAAGGAAAGAAATATAGAGGAAAAGAGGCAGAGATAACAAAAGAGAGACAAGATGTAAAGTTTCGAAACTTTTTTCACATTATGAATCAGCAGGTCATTGTTTTATTCCGTATTTCCAAAAGTGGCACGATTCAGTGTGTTACGACGAGGTTCGGAGTGGAGGTTTTGGTGTTAAAGGAATTCCTCGAATTCACTAACGTCGACTTCTGATCGACCTTAGAGAGAGAGAGCTATTAAAGCTAGTGGGTAGTATATGCAGATCATATTGCTATTGATAAATGTAAAAAATATCTGACCGGTAAAAGTTCAACCGATGAAGCAATATAGAACGATGTACTTGAAATATTTTAAATGTGCTAACAAAAAGCTCGTATTGCCAAAATGTGAACACATTGAAAGTTTGAATACTTAGGAAAAGGAATGTGAAGAGCGATATTTCGTAAAATCTTCGTATCTTAACAGAGAAAAGTAGCTCTGTACCAGTAAGTAAAAATTATGAGGAAACCCTGTATGGAGAAAAGATAATAGAAGTATAGTCGACGAGATCTGAAGAGGAATGAGTTCAGTGGGAACGATCAGTCAAAGAAGCTAGTCAGAATCCTATGGAGGCGATCGACTGATCGACTGGTAATGATACTTCCATGTGGGGTCCATTGGATCATCGACGTCACCAGAAACGCTGAAGAAATTATTGCAATAAACAACCGACTAGGAGGAAAGAATATATTTTCTCCCACATCTCCACTTACCGGTGAACGGAAAGAAGGCTGTGATGATGAAAAACCAAGTGTAGCCGATGGAAGTGAGATAGAATTGCGAAATGATCGACAGTAAAATTCCGCTGCAGGTCTGAAAAGAGAAAAAAATTCCCACCGACGTTGGGTATAATTCCGAGTACTGAACTTAGGTGACACTTAACGATATGTTGGTTTCGCCGGTTTTGCTGCATCCGCCTGGTTTGTTTCGACAGCAGAATAATCTCAATGATTGTGGTTACAATCTTATTTTTGCTTCCAAGCAGTAGTTAAAGGTGCATAGCAACACATGTGTGATCGTTGGCCCAGTTTCTCGCCCCGGCACCACAAGCCCTCCATCCGGCAAATTGGTGCCAACTATGCCTGGGAGGACAAAAATCCTGATACGATACATCGGTATGCTGCCCAAAGTCACCGTATGGCCAAATATGCACCCAATCATCTCTGTGGTGCCACAAATGGAGAAGAATTAACGTTCTATTATTACAAAAAATTCACCGATGCTGAACGTTTTGTCACTTATCGTTCTACAACCCATATTCGTGCATATCGCGCCGATCCCATCACTTCCTTCATTCTTTTAGAAGGCCTGCATTTGCACTGCACGACGGTGTTCGAAGTAAGGAATGAAATTAATTCGTCCTAAAAACAATGACAACCTTGCTAAGGCGTTCTCATGTCAACAGCACAGCTTTTCGCTGGTGTTCGACAAATACATGTGGCTTCTCTAAACAACCCTAGTATTAATTTGTCGACCCCGCGGTGATCGTCGGTTATGGTTAGCCCTATATGGAGTCGAATCAGAGACTAGGCTGTATACAGCGGCATTTCTAACGGGTGCGCTTTCCGCTTCTTAGGTAAACTGACCAACAATCGAGTGTATTCGAGAGCAAATTTAGTCAAATAAGCAATGAATAAACGAACCGTTGAGAGAGTTAAAAAACCGTAGTTGGTTGCTTTGTAAAGAGGACCAAAACATCTCGTCGTTGCGGTAATGAATAAAGCGTGCGTCGCACCCATACAGATAAACATGCCGATGAGCTAGGGAAAAATTCATTTTAAAAAGTGAATTTCCACTCGAAAGAAGAGTTTCTTCAAGCAAGGAAATTTTCAGGAAGCGTTGATACTTCGGATAGCCCTTAATGTGAGCTTTTACTAAATACATACATGATTTCGCTTAACCTCGTGCTTCAGTGGTGCGCACTGCGGAATTTCTCAGGAAAATATTTTCTCAACCATTAGCGATAAAGAAGAGTTTTCCGCGAGCTATGTTTGGCTCCCACGGATCTCCCTCATATGAGGAATCTCTAGTATCCAGGACTAACGAGTGGAAATGCGATGAAGCACTCTCGATCATGTGCCCAATGTTTAAACTCTGCTATGCCTCCTACATTCAAGCACGTTCACGAATTCACGATGCTACAAGGATGAAAACGCGCTGCGTTTATCTAACACACTACTGGGAGCCACAAAGCAAAGTTTCCTATTTATGCAAGTGATCTATTTTTAATCGCAGCCATTGGACCGCTGAAGCAGAACCAACTGGTCAACTTCAGCACTTGATAGGAGAGAATCAAGACTTCCTTCGCACTCATTTGAGTTAGTCGATGATAAGAGAAAAGGCAATAGGTACAGGTGATTCTCACTGTTTCATTTTATTCTGGTTGAACCTTTAAAGTGTTTAGGCATTGAGTCAGACAAAACTTCGTGGACGTAAAAATAAATTTAGCGAAATACGTTTTACTTCAGGCAGCTATTCCATTACTTCTATCGTACATGCCTAGATTTGCTTTATTTACAATGGTCATTTTCGGTTTTTCCGATAACATGTGAGTTTACCGTTGGATTTCAGCAAGGTCTTCCTCATTTGATAAGAAGTTCCGCCTCAGGAGTTTCAATAGCAAGAACTCCCAGACTTTACCGTATCCGTTTAATTTGTTACTGAATCATCAATAGCACCCTTTTCTCGCTGATCGTGTTATAATTCAAATGGGGGCACATAAAGTCACATTTATCCTTACTGATTGCAAGAGTAATCCAATAGGCTTTGTTCACTCTGGAGACTCGCTGGAAATCACAGTTTTTTGGTTAGGTGGCCCCTCTGTGCACGCTGTTTGCGTGATACGGGATACTCCCAGCATCGCACTCAGCCGCGAATTCGATGACGCCGATTGGCCCTTTTTGTTGCTCATACTACGACCAGGTACCAAGCGCACAAGTTAAACTAAGAAGAATCGTGGAGTCGAAAACGTGGACAAAAGGATAAGAAATCATCAGTTATCTTTTATCTCAAAACTGACTTACCAACATGTCCCATCCTGTACTTACTTATCAAAACCTATAAGTTAGTATCCAGCGATGATCTCATGCCTAGCGTTCCATCGTTATTTAAGGTTAGTCCAATCATTAGCTGCGTGGATAGGCCAACGGATAGAATCACGTGGTTAATAATCCTAATACTTATCTAGTTGTTGAAATATATTCCAGCACATCTAACGAACACCCAGATGTTCCTGGATCGTCTACGTAACGCGCGACCCATCAGCGCGTACGTGGTGGAGTCCGTCGACGTCACTGCCCTCTATACGAACGTGTCGAATGACTCCACTATGCAAGTCATAAGCGAGCTCCTTATACAACACGAAGGAGCAATAAACATGTACGGCTTCTCGATTCAGCAGTTGGTGACACTCTTAAAGTAGTGCCTGAACTACTCAGTCTTCAGATGGTACGGGAGGTATTACGCACAAATGAGAAGGCTGGCAATGGGACAACGACTGGCACCAAGCCTTGCCATTGTATTCATGTCTAAGGTGGAAGCGCCAGTAATCGACCTCGGTCCGTTACTCTACTGTAGATATATAGATGACTGTTTGGTCATTTGTTCAACGCAAGAAGAAATCGACAGATGTTTCGAGTTGTTGAACACACAGTCAGAGTATATTAAATTCACCCGACAGAAACCAAAAGAAGACTGGCTTCCATTTCTGAACGTGCAAATTAGCCTATCAGAAAACGGCTACGCTACGAAGTGGTAACGAAAGCCAAGTAGTAAAAACGTCCTAGCTCATTACCTCTTCTCTCATCCCTCTCACACGAAAAGGGCGCCTGTGAGAAACATGTATCGAACAGCTGCCAGCGTGTGCACAGGAAGACAACAGAGAGAGGGGTCCCGGAACTTCGCGCGGCAAATAGCCATTTTTAATGGCTACGAAACCGTAGCTCGAGATAGGTGTAGAGGAAACCACAGGTACCCCAACGATAACTCTAGCGACAACAAGGTCCCGTTTATACTGCCCTTCATTTCAAATGAAGGAAGTGCAGCTATAAAACGCTGTTCGTATTTTTGTTGAGCAAACGCGAGGTTTTATTATTCTTTGTTCACGATTAAGCTGACGTTTCGGCGGATTTCGCCTTCCTCAGAGCCTGGAAAGATCAAGCTGATAGCAATCTACTCGGCCAGACGCCTCCATAACCAAACAAAGAAACCCCAAACCAAGATTTCAATCACTTTGAACACAGCTTAAAACGCTAAAACGTTGTTTAAGAAGGGCCAGTCTAGAGAATTCGGTAACGATAATCGAAATACCGCCGAGTAATCTAAGGCGCCAGCTAGTTCGTAACCGCCTATACGACCGTCTATGTTCAACGCAAAAATTGCATAATTTCTCCCAATGGTAGAGGTGACTGCATGAGTTCGGGTACAGTCTATCTGATCTCTTGTAAAGCGTGCGGGGACGAATACGTTGGCGAAACGGGTGGACCGCTTTGCGTACGTATAAAAGAACACCTAGTCGGCAAACGTAAACCAAATACTCCACTAGGCACGCATAGCACACAGAGACATAACGGAGAAGATTTTAAAGTAAGGGTTATGATCCTCGCGCAAGAATCGAGAACACAAGCACGCAAAACTCTAGACGCATTCTGGATTAATTCCAGAAATCCGAAAATGAACCGCAGGGAGGAATGCCTCATTATCACGCGTGATATTGGACAGTGTATAAACCTGTTGTTCTGATGGGAGGGGCACATTACGCTTCCATGTGAATTCTGTGCGGTCGGTTTTCACGCGATATACTCAGTGGAAGACTCATAGAAAGCGGTGAGTGTGCAGAGCTATATTAAATGTGATTGAAATCTTGGTTTAGCGTTTTCCCTGTTTGGTTATGGTGTTTGGCAGAATAGATTGCTGTCAACTTGACCTTTCCAGGCTCTTAGAAAGGCGAAATCCGCCAAAACGTCAGCTTATGCGTAAATAAAGGAATAAAATAGCACCTCGTGTTTGCTGAACTAAGTGGAAAGTAGAAGAAGTAGAAAGATCTAGCCAGTTAGTTGCGAGGCTATGTGGCGTGTCCCAAGGTGGCGGATAGCGCGGGTTAATTGCGGACCAAAAGCGACCTTTGCTTCCCTGAGACGTAGGTGGATCCAGGGGATGGACTCCCTGTTTCTGCTGCGCCGATTTGGCACATAATTTCTGTATTTGCTAGGCGTATTCATGCATGCGTGTGTGGGCACGTTCTCGCTTATGAGGTTTGCATTCTACAAGCCAATTCGTCCAAAAGCCTGCAACCAAGTGACAGGGAAGTATATGGGAGGCGGTTAGAAGTCGGCTACAACAAATAAGCTCCATGTCTACTCTGGAAGAGCCTAGCAAGCTACCCGTAATTACACCCGGCCCCCGCGTTCAAAGCTCGGCATGCTATTCGTGGGTATCAAAATGCTAAACACAGTAAAAAAAACGGGCCTCATTCGTTTGACCCCGAAAAGGCTCCCTACTTCGCAGCGTTGGGTAGGACGAGTACGGAGAGGCTGCTAAAATCTCAGAGCCAATGCAAGGTGTCCGGATCACGAAGAACTAAAGCGACTACCTGTATCTACAATGCACGCACACTTGCATCCAAGTTCTCGATAGAAGACTTGCTCAAGCAAGCAAGAAGGTTAAGGAACGACGTCATCCGCCTGGCTGAGACGAGACGACGCCACCCATTCAACGCCATCTATGACACCAAAGAAGAACTATTCCTCGAAAAATGCGACAGCAGATTCGGCGGCGTCGGTGCTCTCGTCAACACGAGTTTGTCCATGAACATGGATTCATTCGAACAACATGAAACCCGAATCGGACATATACGACTAAAAAGATATGGACCAAATCGGTTTTGACAATCTTTGTCGTTTACGCTCCGACATCAAACTATGACGAAGGAGAAGTCGAAACCTTCTATATGGACTTGGAGAAATTCTACAGAGAAGACCACACATTCTTCAAGGTCATCATTGGAGATTTCAACGCCAAGATTGAACCAAGAAGAACGTCTGAAGAACGTCACACTGGAACCCGTGGGTGGCGTGGGAGTCTCCCAATGGAGAATACCATAACGAAATAGACCACATCATAGTAAATAGAAGGTTTTGCCTAACCGATGTCGCTATTGTCCTAAAATTCTACACGGGACCAGACCACCGTCTCCTTCGTGCAAGATTCTACTTCTCGCAGAAAGGAGAAAAAGCCGCTAAATTCAAAAACTGAAGTTCCAGAACCATCGTAACCTGGGACTTATTCAATTCATTAGCCGCTGTTGGGAAGATATCGTTGTCGATAACATCTACGACGAATACGATCGGCTCATTCAACATCTTCACGCTAGCGTTATGAAAGCTCAGAGTTCGAAAGTCACTAGGAGACGTCCGTCTCCAGAAACATTCGAGCTGATACGCCAGTGTGGAATCGTACGAGCTGCAGGCAACCGCGAAATAACGTCCCAACTTTCAAAACAATGCAGACAGGCGATAAAAGATCTTAAAGAAAGAAGAGCAGCAGTAATTGTCGAAGCTGCAGAGGCTGGGAAAAACATTCGCAAAGCCCACCAAAGCTTCACCAATTACACGACCAAGATCATTGCACTCTGACGTCCAGAGGGAACAGTTACAGCGTCAAGAAAGGCAATGGAGAAAATCATTCACGAATATTACTTAGATCTCATCGATAGCCACGTCCATCTTCCGTCATATGAAACAAAGGAGGACGGATATGTTGCACCACCGCTTCTCCTTTCCGAAATCCGACATGTCATTTCGTCGGTGAAAAATCGAACAGCACCAGGTCAGAACAGGATAAGATCAGAACACCTGAAGAACCTTCTGCCAATCCTCGTAAACACACTGGCTCAGCTCTTCACACGTTAACTAACTGAATGAAAGGTCCCTACTCAATGGAAGACCAGATAGACCGTGTTATTGTTCAAGAAGGGTGACCTACACGATATCGGCAACTGTCGCCCAACCTGCTTACTGTCTGTCGTCTACAACTTTTAATTCGAGTCATCCTAAACAGTATTGAAAGAACGCTGAACGAAGGGCAGCCGTGTGAGCAAGCAGGGTTTCGAAAAGGATTGAGTACGATGGAATCGCGAGAGTACAAAAGACCACTCTGTCTCACTTTCATCGATTTACAGAAGGCGTTTGATTCAATTGAGATAGTAGCAGTCATGGAAGCCCTTGATAGTCAAGAAGTCTCGACTCAGTACAGTCATAAAGATTCTTCGTGAGCTGTACAAAAATTTCACAGCCAAGATTTCACCATTCTACAACGATATTAACATCGACACCAAAAGGGGTTAGGCAAGGCGATACCATGTCGCTAAAATTATTTACTGCCACTCTAAAGAACGTCATGCGAACATTGGAATGGGATAATATGGGAGTGAAAATCGATGGTCGGCAGTTACATCTTCTTCGCTTTGCTGACGGCATCGCCCTTATAAAACCAAACATTAGCCAAGCGGAACGTATGCTTGCCGACTTTGATCAAGCCTGTGGAAAGATTGGTCTTCGACTAAACCTCACAAAAACGATGTTCATGAAGAACGGATTGGTTTCGTATGCCTCATTCACGCTCAACGAAACGAATATCTCCGAATGCTCCAGTTATGTCTCTCTAGGTCGGAAAGTCGGAAAATCAATATGAAGAACAACTTAGCTCCAGAGCTGAGCAGAAGAAAACGAGCGGCTTGGGGAGCTTTCAAGAACATCGAGGATGTAGTGAAGAGAACAAAGAACACCCGACTCCGTGCCCACCTTTTCGACTAAACAGTACTTCCTGCGCTAACGTATGCGTCGGAAACCTGGTCGCTGCGTAAGCAGGATGAAAGGTCACTCAGCGTTATCGAACGCGCAGTCGAAAGGACGATGCTAAGAGTAACCCACTTCACAAAAGTAAGAGATGGGATCAGACGCTCCGATCTGCGTCAACGATCAAAAATCAAGGATGCCGTTCTGTACGCCGAACACTCGAAGACAAGATGGGCCGAATGCGTAATGCGTGTGAATGACAACCGATGGACAAGAGCCGTTTGTGACTGGATTCCTCGGGATGTCAAACGTACTGCAGCAAGACCACCGATCCGATGGTCAGAATTCTTCATGATGAGCCTAGAGGAAAAATACGGTTCTCGACGAGTCCCTAGAGAGAGCAGAACCTACTGGGCTACTCTTGCACGCGACAGCGAAAAATGGAAGATTTACTGGCGCCTGCTCGAGTCACTCGACGATCAACGGGACTACAAGTGACTGGTGACAGGTGACAGGCGCAAAATCCGGATTGTATATGCTATCGATTGAATACAAAAAGTACGTTGAATGAACTCTATTGGGCGCAGCCGGAAGGAGAACACATTGAGATCAATGCATACATTCCACTATCCCCCTCATGCATACATTATAAACAAGGTATGTATTCAATTGTGATGTCATTCTAAGACTCAGAGATTTTCACAAGATCTTGCAAGCTATAACTGATATCACTTACCCATACCAAAAACATGTATCGACCAACGGTCCTCGTCATTGGCATCGTGAGGAGAAGAGTCGTAGCCAAACATGTCGCTATCGACACAACAGTCTGAAAACCTAGTTTTTAGTAAGAAAACGGCGACTGCGCATAACTCTGGACGATTAGGTAACAACCCGTTAGCCCTATAAAATGTTCATAAGTGGGCTTCAATCGCCGTCATTACTGTTGGCTTGACACCCGGTGTTCGCCTTAGTACGATACTCGACGCCCAAGGAGCGTTACCACCCTTAGGGAAACAAATTAAAAATTAGTAGGTGACCAGTTCGCTTTTTAAATTGAGAAGAACTACGACTGATAGTTGCATGGATTTAGGAAAATTTTTAGTGTACGCGGTTCTCAAGTGCTGATCCCAAATTAAACCAAATGGCGGCACTAATCTCCCACAATTTGTCCAGCTGAATAAGAAAAACAACGTGCAAGAATGTCCAGTTGGCGATGACATTTACCAAGCACAAAATCAACAATCTAACGTGATAAGGTGTGTGGAACATCGTTACTTGAAAACTCGTCCGATCAGTCAGATAGCCCCAAGCGATGCGTGCAATGGCGTTTGCGACCGAACCGACAGCGAATGCTCTGGCCAAGAAGAAATCGTCATCGACGAATGTCTCGGCAAATGTCTAGAATGTCTATGTTGATAGTGAAAGAATGATTGAGCATGTACTTATTATTACGCCATTTCCCATTATTATTGTTCCAATATTCTTCTATGAATAAAAGCAGAGTAAGTACGTTCCAACGGTTTACCGCCTCAACGTGGCTGTGAGGTGTTCCTGGGTGTCGGACTTCGATGTACAGTGGGGAGATTCGTCCCCCTGGCAGGGTCTCCCAAGTTGAAGAGTCCGGTGTTTCCATCAGCAAGCCTAGTTAAGAGTAAACCAATACCAGGATCCGCCACCGTCTTGGTATCAAAGTCGCATGGTGGCAAATCTCCCTCTGATCCACAAGGGCTGCTACTGCATGTGGTGGTGAAGACTTGGGGCAGACTTTGACCAACTTGACATCGGGATTCCAGGGAACCACGGTAGCTTAACCAGCAAATCTCCGAAAAATGGTCATTATGCTGGGGCCCTCACAACCAGTGAGGACAGGCCGTTCAAGCACCAAGGAAGTAAGAATAAAAGTACATAAGCTTCCTCTTTTTAGTTTTCTTTTAGAAAGTTCAAAACGACTTAATATCATCGTCAGCCTTTGTTTGTATTCATTGGCACCACTCGATAGCAAAGAACTGAAGTTTATCACCAAATAACTAACGTAGTGAAAAAGTGTACCTTATAGAGATTGTAGAACATATTCGCATAGAATGAACAACAGAATAACGCAGTAAAAAGAACGTAGAAGGTCGACGACGACAATATTTCGAGTGGTCGCAATGACATCCCACTAAAAAATAGCTCAGTCCATTTGAGAAAGCATATGGGCCACTTGCACACCCATCGTGAAAGCAGCTCTTCGGAGATTTGCTCATGGCCGTCAGTGTATAATTTTAATGTAAAAATCTCAGTTATCGTAAATTCACTATTTTATGTTTTCTATTTATACAAGAGAGGTTGTACGCAGCGCAGTCGTCAGAGGTACCCCGCATGCATTTGGTCGTTGGTTCGACACTGCGCTCTGGGGAACCCAAACCCTCCATCCCTTCTGGGTCGACAAACTGATGCCAGACTTAACTGGGTGGATAAAGAAACCGAAATGACACATCGGCAGGCTTATGCTAGTTATTCCATGGAAAAAAATGCGCACTTACTCACTCTAAGATGTCAGTAATGTAGTCGAGTGCATGGTACAACCTTAAGGAATTCATAAATACCGAATAACTCGTCCTCTATGTACGTTAATAGAATGAGGTTCAAATAAACATGTCCTTTTAGTTCAGTTTAGAAGAAGTGTTTCAACATTCACCAAACAACAGTCCAAAAAACGGGCAATTCCGAAATCTCAATCAAGCCTGACGTTGTTACAAAGCCAAGAATTGTTAAACGTACTTGGATGAGTCGCTTAGAGGGAAATCAGAGGAATCGGAGTCACGGCTTGACTGCGAATCTCGTGATACGGTCCGACATCGAGTTGACGAACCTTCTGAAGACACCTGTAGGTACCCCAGATGAGGAGAGAATTTTTTTCTAAACTCAATCATAAAAAGAAGATCATGCGGTAAACGGAAATCAAGCCACAAATTCGACAGAATCCAGACCGTTACTAAAGAACTGCCGTGATCGCATAAAATGAATACGGTTATCGTTAATGGCTCATCAGAATTCTTCCGTCAGATTCTGCCGACTTACAGATTCAAGCAAAACATTCCACAGTGCTCTCTGCCAATACATAAAAATGTTTCAAATATTGACATTCCTTTAATCTCGTCATGGCCGATCAACATCTTTCTTTACGTTGATAGGTTGATTTAAAAAAATACATCACAAATATAGATCACACATATATAACCATTCAAATAGTTCATAGTCCTCCTAGTATATGTATTGTAGCAGGTTTTCTCCATTTTACAGCAAGTAAACCTTTTGTAAGGAGGGAGTAGCACAGTGGTTAGCCATGCAATCGATGAAGAGGTAAAGGCACTAGTTCGACCTCTCCTCAACGTTCTCTTCCAATCCACGAGAGAACGCCTTTGCCTGGCTATATCAAAGATTGCACGGAGCATCGATTCGAACAGCATTCTACGACATTAATAAGGAAGACAGAATCCTCAAGCAGCCAAAACAACATGGGAAATGTTCGAAGACATTTGTGGACGATTAATGTGGAGAAAAGTTAATCGACTGGAAGGAGTGCTAAGATCCGCGCAGCAGATGTGACAATGGAACATGTAAAAAACATCCTAGAGGTTCATGTAGCGCAGTGGTAAGAGGAGTCCTACAATATACATGGGATTGATCCGACGTACCGGGCTCATCAATGATGACTGGCTCGATACATCGGCGGGTCATCGCCATCATTGTAAAGACCAGATAACCACTCAGTCACCTTTAACAATGCTTTATGAAGTGGAATTCACGGAGCAACCCTCAGAAATTGACCAAAGCCGAAAGCTTTTCAGCTTTGAACGATTTTTCAACTATTTACCGCCTCACTGAATCTGAAGGGGTTGGGTGTTTTTTGGTAGTAAACTGCGAATTAGAGTGGCTTAATACCATAGCAAATTAACTCAAACAAATAAGTTTTTTTACATCTATGCTGAAGCCGAATAATGTGTAAACCAACGCCGTAGTAGTAGAGAAGAGTTATCCTTGACTTTTTTATCACATATATGAGGCCCTCGTACAAAAATAAGAACTTCACGCTCTCTTGTTACGCAAGAGAGGAAGGAGGAGATTACGTGGGGGTCTGGCGTGCAAAAAGGACAAATTGAAATTCCTCTGCTACCCTCTTGAGTTACCCGATGATTTTTTCTTTTCTGCGTTTTCATAGAAACCACGATGAACGTTTTTTTTTAAAATAATTTTACTCGAGACATTGACAGCAGCCTTGTTGAGGAACACCAAACAATCACTGTCAGTTAAATACAACGGAAAGAAGCGACAAGAATGCTTTAAGAACACAACCACCGTACATCCACTGTAAGATAGAAAACTCTCGATAGAATGACAGCCTAAGCGATTTTTGCGCGATAGCCATCATTCAACTCGATTACCAAAATAACCTATTTCATGACTACCGGAACTGAATAACCTTTCCTTGCAACGAACACGACAAGAAATCAGAAATAAAACTAAAGAACTTTGAAAAAAGTATCAAAAAACACTTTTAGCTTCAGAAAAAAAACTTGGCGTAATATAAATGATATCGATACAAAAATCCGCAAGAATTTTCAGTTACTTTGCGGTAAGTAGCACGTCGTAATAGCGACCCCTTCAGTTATTGTCATTGAAAGTTTGGAAATCGAAGATGGACGTGCAAATGTATACATAAATATATACACATATATACGCATACACATATGTACATATATATACACATGTATTTGTATATATAGGAGGCGTATGTGGGACACTGGTCATCTAGAATCGTTGGTTCGATACTTCGCCTCGGGCAAACCAAGCGTCCATCCCTTTAGAGTTAGCCAATTGATATCAGGTTTGTCCAGAAGGATAAAAACACAGAGGTAATACATCACTAGGCTACAGCACGTCACTATATTAACCACCATGCATTTAATCAATTCTGGTGTGCCTGATGGAGCCTTATACATGGCGCATCTCTAAGCTAATCATCATGGCTGAATAATTGTAGAACCGGTTGCGTTTTGAGGAGTTGGTATCTCGCATGAATGCTGCTGGATGGTTGTTCCGTTTATTTATTCCTAAATGCTTTAACACCTCTACTAGAGCGGCCCGAATTCGCCACCATGGATATTCAGCGGATTTTACGAATCAAAGAGAGCTTACTTAGAGAGGATGGTGTGCAACGAAAGCCTTGGCGGGGTCGAACCAGCGACAAAGCATTTTACCTTAAGTGCATATGGTAACAAGCAGTATTAGTACCAGACCACCCAATAGAAATATGTGGGACAGAATTTTGTATTCGAAAGGACAGTTTAGTTCATTATCGTCCACAGAAATCAACAGCTGTTTGTTCTAGACTGAGAAAGTTTCCTGGATATGCTTGTCATACAGGTTAGCTACAACCACTGTGATTATTAGTTATTAAACTTTTTTTGATGAATGCCATTGTACTTTTCAGACAAGAATACACCATCCAACCGGTTATTCTTGATTTATGGAAGCGATCATGCACTAGTTTCCGTGGTCGATGTTTTTCTGTGATCTTAAACACAAATGGACTGACGGTTGTGCAGAACCCCGATTTAAACATGCAACGCACTACCGTATCTAATCATATGTACCGTTACGTCGTCGCAAGGAAGTCGTTTGTACGCAGTGGTGGCGATGGCTTGTGTGTTGTTACCGGCGACACAGAGACCATGAGAAACCCCATCTACGGCGAGTCCAGAACTATGAATCTGCAGCCGAACACTATACGATCGTGAAAGATTTGTTGAGAGAAAGAAAGGCAGAACAACTGTAGAACTGCTAGCTTCAGGGCATACTCAAGTTGTTATGAGCACAGATTCTTATGAATTTGAAACAAGTAAAACAACCAAAAACTTGCAATAGTATAGTAGTGCTTAACTGAATATAATTCTTAGAATGAGAGTGCATTAGCACATTTCCCAAAAAACTCACTAATAAAAAACATTGATTAGTTGGTTATCGTAATTAAAAGTAGAACATTTGACTAGTAAAATTTCATTCTCGGTAATAATATTATCCCAGAAGAAAGCGGGAGAAATGGTAGAAACAGACCTTTTAAAATGACTGGTGAGAGTAGAACCTTCACTACAGCGCTAGCGGATTTTTCTTCCACAGACCAAATTTCTTTTTAAATCGTTGAGAAATATTTTTAGAGTGGATGAGACCTTTCAGATGGTTTTCATCCACATTTTTCGCTTAATTTTTGAGTTTTCACGGTTGCTACGTACTAATAGCGCTTCTGAGTGTTCGAAGAAATCGGTATATCGATTGGCTACCGTAGTCGGTGGCATGAGTAAGGATTTTCAAACATTTTCTTTCAAAGCAAAGCAGGACAAAGATCAAATGTTTGTGAAAGTTCACATTAACTGTAACTGACCTTTACAGGAGGATCACAAACAACAATTAGACCGATTAGTTGCATAATAGCATAAACGGTTGCTAAAGTCAGGAATACGTCAGGTACTCGATTTAGAAGATCCTTGTCAAGAAAATACCTAAAAAAATTCTTTACTCTTTTGTGATTTATGTATAGAAGCATCTTTAAAACAACGGCTTATAAGATTTTCTTGATGTTGGCAAAAATGTCTGCAAATGAATTTACTTCATCAGAAACCTCTTTGAAAGCTTCCTTGGGCCAGAAACGATCACAAAAAGTGTGATAACACCTACTAGAGCCGAACTACAGTTACAATCAGCTTGAATGGTAATCGGAAAGTCATTTCCGTGTGATTTGTGCAGAAATAAGAATATAACAAACACGAACAATGTACTTTTCCGTTTCTTGATGAACAAACACGGGTTTGTTAAGAAAAACTGTACGAATGACATTCAGACTTTGAGCTTCTTCTACTGTTGTTATGAAAGCATTTGACAAAGTAGATTTCATGCCTGACCTTTCCAGACTCTGAGAAAGGAGAAATCGCTTAAATGTTGACCACTACAAAACGCTAAAACTTACCTACTTGGATAGTTGGAAGCCCCGTCCTCACTGATTGTACGGATCCCAGTATATTCTCCACTTTTTCGAGTTTCGCTCGTGTAAGTATTGTGCTTCCGTGGAGTCCCAGGGTCAGCCTTGCCAAACTCTGCTCCAGGTCTTCACCACCACATGCGGTCACCACCCTTGTGAGTCAGAAGGAGAACTGCTACCACGCGACTAGTCCTCAGGTTGGTGGTGGATCCTGGCATTGGTTTACTCTTAGTCGAACTTTCTGATGGAAACGCAGGACTCCTCATCTTGAGAGACCCTGCCGCGGAGATAAATCCCCTGACTGTACATCGCAACCCGACTCTCAGGAACACTTCGCAGCCACGATGAGGCGGTAAACCGTTGGTAGGAAACGCTAAAACTACCGAGGATAAGTTACTGGGAATGTGCTTTTTCATTGTTAAGGAAATAATACTGTGAAAGTGTAGGTGAGGTAGGTAGAACTGGGTTTTTAGAATGGTTGAAATTTTACTAACAATACTGGTTCGATGGTAAGAACAAAGGCTCGTATGGAAATTTTCCTAGATATTCAAACATAGAACAACACCAAGAGAAGTAGCAAAGGTTAGTTCTCATTTCAAGAAGAAAACAGTTCTTATAATGTCGTTAACAACTGCTCTAAGATGTTGTGCAAGAATGAATGACAAAAATTGAGAAATTAATGTGCCTTTGATGAGAGAATACATTTCTAATGTATAGAAATAACGAGTTCAGGCGATCTTCGACATCTTTTGGAGTTGAAAATGGTTTAAGTTTTCAATTATTCAAGCATCCTTCTTCATAAATAGCTAAAAAGCATAACAACTATATATGGTTAACTTTTTTCTTTATTTACTGCCCATTATAAATAAAAAAAGTAGACAATGTGATTTCGACTACAGCCTCAGCTTAACTGGGTTAATTGCCTTTTTGGGCTCCTAGATCAATCCCGTTGACGGGTGATTGCTGATGGCAAAAATCGATAGAACTAGCTGAGAGATAGGCAAAACGAAGGACCCGCATGGTGTGGTGGTGAACGCGTTACTCCCCAGAAAGGACAATAGTGCGTTCGTTCCCCACCGCAGAAACCTACGGCCTGGAGTTTTGCAAATATTTCAGCATCATTGTGATTATACATGGCTTAGTTGCTCGTAATATCTCAATCTGTCCCTCGCATATTAAAAAGATAAAGGACGAAAGATAAAGCTTTCAGCTTCGCTCAATCCTTGGAGAAGCCATGAGCACTTGGACTCCATGCATAACATTGCAAACGCAGATGAGGGCATCCTTGGCTAACGTCGATGCATCAGGTGCGGGTGGAACGACGAAAAGTCGTATGCAGGAGGGAGTCTCTAAGCATTGGACTACATGCGCTTCGCTTTTGTGTTCAATTATCAAAAACAATATCAAAAAACCCCTAATTGGAAAACCTGGTCCACCAGTGAAATTGCGAGTGTTAAGAAACAAACATACCCATCTTTCGTTGATGGTAAGTTGTAGGGATTGATAAGATGCGTTTGAATCGGAGCGAAAATCGACGATGAGATGCCGAAACCTGCGGCCACAATTCCGCTCACCAATCCCACCTTCTCAGGAGCCCACTAAAATTTCCTTAGTTAACTGAAGAAAGAGGAAGAAAGAAGAAGAAAGAAGAAGAAGAAGAAAGAAGAAGAAGAAGAAGAAGAAGAAGAAGAAGAAGAAGAAGAAGAAGAAGAAGAAGAAGAAGAAGAAGAAGACCCATGCCAGCAGCAGAAGTAAAACTTTCGAAGGATTCAACAATACACACACGACTACGTTGATTTTTTCCATACTCCAAATGCAACGATTTCAATTCCTACACTACAAGACGCACACTACATTCTTGGCAAAGGAATCTTGATGGTCTTCACATTAACTATAGTCTCTGTGGTACTGCTGTTTTACAGAGATCCCACCGGACACACCGACTTGTGAACTCCTTCCAAAAAGTGTTTTTTTTTGACTCCCACGTCCGACTTTCTATTAACCGACTTTATATTTGCTGAGCAGAAGTGGAAAGAATTGTTTTTTCTAAGCCTCAAGGCACGAAAGCTTTTTGTTGACCACGCTGGACACAATGTTTACAGCACAGAGGCTACGGGTTTGGTACAACAGGCATCGCATAGGAAGTTCATACCGCAAAGGAAAAACTGAAGGAGAATAAGAAAAAAAATAATAACTGTTTTCTAATTGAGTTCTAGCTATCTCCATTTGTTTGAAAACTCGGAGTAAATCTAATGGTGCTTCATACAAGTTGTTTTCTTACTTATGTGACCTTATTTCACACACTATCACCCCGGACAAGTCAGGTTCCAATTTGCCGACCCCGAAGGGATGAAAGGCTTGGTGGGCCTGGGGCGCAGGGATCGATCTCATGTGTATTTCAGGGCGTTTCCGAGGACTGCACCACACGCACCTACGTATTTGGAAGGATAGCTGCACTGGCTCGATACATCGGTAGGCTATCTGGAGTCATTGTAAAGGTCAAATATGCATTCAGTCAGCTCTAGCAATGCTTAGTGAAGTCGAATATATCGTGCAACCCTCAGGGATTGATCCACGCCGAGAGCTTTATCTTTTTTATTTTTTCACAGTTCGTTGTGCATGTCACCCATGGTCAAAATGTCTTCGGACCTTCTACGCGTGGGTTCGATTGCTGTTTGAGGGTTTTGGTTTTCTTCATGAAAGGTGTTGAATGGTTGTCGAGTGGATTCTGCATGGAAACCTGAGATAACTCTACGGCAGCGTCGCCAGAACTTCATCACAAGCAATCGTCAGTCTTTGAGGAGAGGATGTAGACTTTCACAGAAAAGTTAGATGCAAACATGCTGAAGCAGGGCGAATAGGAGAAGTAGTTTGCCTCAAGCGCTGTCCAAGCCAGCGGTCATGAGTTTTTTGGACTGCATGTTTAACCGCTGTTGTTTCCACGTCATCTACATTCTCACTAAAATAATATTGATACATATACAATTCCCCCGTTTCGGTTGCAGATAGATGATGAATTTGATTGAAAGTCATCATTTCCTAACTCACATTGATAACAGTTGCAACGGCAGTAACGTATGCGATTCCCTGACCAAATCCGAAAAGAACGCCGTACGTTATGAAAAAAGCGAAAAACGAATGTTTGATAGTCCAAAACGAAAGTGCAACAGAGGAGCTGAAAGAAAAAAAGTTGTTTTGCAATCGTGATCAAACTTCAATTCGTACCACTCTTGAAACAACAGATGTTGTTCATCACTGATAGAATGAAAGTTCCGGAAGAAAAATCACAGCACAAAGCCATAGCGAGACTTCAAAGAAGGGACAGGTTATAGATAAGGTATTTTTGCTGACATAGTAAGTCTATACTGCGTTGGTGTTGTAAGATAGAACACTTCACGAAACACCAAAAACTTGAGTTTCTTGCCCGTAGAGGATTGTAGTGAGGTGCTGATCAAAAGCGCAGATTCCGAGGATGTAACAATTCACGAATTTCAGTTTGTTTCTTTTGAGAGCTTTCAGGCCACACGAATCGAGAATGGTGTGCCTCGATGGTGATGTTAGTGTGAAGAACTGAGGAGTACGCAAGGTATATAGGAGAAAAGAACCCTTAGATAGGGCAAACCCCTCTCAACCGTTCAACTCTCTTTGGCAGCAAAAAATGGATGTCTTTCTTTTTTTCCCTCTCAAGCTCACTCTGTGAGAATTCTAGTGCTTTCACTATTAAAGAAAACCCTTACATATGCTCATCACATAGGAACGGTGACCTAAGGAGAGTGAGATCGACGCCCAGATGTGCGCTGACACAATGTGAGCGCCATAGCAAGAAAAAAAAAAGAAAGGAAAAAAAATGTTATTCTAATAACAAGAATAACAATGCAATGGGAATTCGACAGACCCTTGGAAGTCTATCATTTTTTTAAAATCTTAGAAAGGAGATCTAATAATTGCTTGAAAAGGGACTAAAGCATTCACGGAGACACGTTCCAAACGTTGATTCTAGCAATTGATAAGGAAAAATTTCTTCATTTACAAAAGAAAAAGTGAATAACATTGTGACGCCGATATTCGTTTCATAGTTCGTTTACAGCAAGAAGTCTCCAAAGTTGAAACTAACTTCGTTTATAAATAGAAAATAATGAACCAACGTTGCAATGGCGCATCCGATGAGAGCAGCCATACGTGGACCAACATGAAGTGCCAATGTACCACCGATAACCATTGAGAACGGAAAACATCCTAGATGGGAGTCTATAGTAATCCAGTAATGCCAAAAACTCACTTTACAGAAATGATATATGGCCTGATTTCTAAGCTATCAACTCTCCTAGAAAATCCATTCTTTCGCACCTTGGAAAGTTGGTATCCACATGAAATGCTCAATTCGTATAGTGGGATCGGTGTAATTCCGCATGTAGGAAGCCATGTACGGTAGCATATTCCCTAGAAAGTAACTCTTTACTAGTTCTAGCTTAGGCAGACCGCAGCAGGTGAAGGAAAAAATTAAATGCAAAGATGATAAAACCACAAAAATGTTAAAGCATTCGGTTTTGATCAATCCCTTGTCGAAACAATGACTTACAGAGACCTATTAATACATCAAATTAATGTTTTTACCTCCAGATAAGTTCGGTACCAATTCGCTAGTCGAAAAACTATGGTGGCAGCTTAGTCAGCAGCGGGAAGGTAAAACAAAGATATTGTGGGTATTGGAGGGCATCTCTAACCACTACGCTAACCATCACACGTGCACCAAAAATGGATAAAATAAAATGAAAAAATGAATAAATGAATGAAAAATGGCCAATAAATATGTAGGATAAATCAACAGTTTGAAAATTCGACAAGGCTAGCAGATGCTACAGTTGCAAATTGTGGATTTTACGAAAATTTTCGGAATAATACTGAAATGTCTGCATTTATAAGCCGTAAGATGATCACAGAGTAAAGGAAAAAGCTACTCACCAAAGGTATGGTAGGTGCCTATGGTAAGGTGGATAATTACAGCACCGGTGAGTACGACAACGAGGCGAACAAATGGTGGTAGGCAGAAAATAAAACGTGAAATGGGATCCACCATAACCAGAGTCTGAACACAGCATCAAGGTATTAACTGAGCTCGAGCTAACTTAAAACATATGTTTTTAATTTCTAAAAGGGATAAAGGCACAGAATTAGCGACTAGACCTGAAAGTACAAAGGGAAACGGTGGTCTCGAAAAATGAACTGCAGAAGACAAAAATGATCTAAGGGAATTACTGGCAACTAGTGATTCCAGGTCTAGGAAAGGGATTGATATAAAATCCACAACATATACTACGAAATAGAAGTTGCAAAAATCATTTCAAAAGCAGCTGTAGTAGAAAATAGAAGAGAGAAAAAAGACGTTGGCACATTTGGACGTAAATAACACATCTTCCTTAATTTCTTAAATTCCATTACATATTAAACTGAAAAATTTTCTTATGGCTTCGGTTTATCAATTCGCCTTTGAACGGTTGGTGGTTACTGTCGCCCTGGAATCTGGAAACCCAAGCCGAAAGGCAAAGAACTCTCCACTCCAGAAAGGGCGGCGACTGCATGTGGTGATGAACTGGAACACTACAGCACAGATTTGTAAAGACTCTAGGAAAACTAACGCTCGATTAACACCCCAAACGCTAGTGAGGAGAGAAGATAACCTTAAGCAGTCCACACGACTAATCCACTAATCCACACGCGATTTGACACTATTGAAGGCGGTTGCACGAGAATGACTCAAACAAAAAAGTGCTGAGACCCTCACGCCATGTGAAGACAGATTATCTAAGTATTAAAGTAAGTAAGCTTTTTTATTTACCTAATAGTTTTCCTCTTAACATTGTCTGAAGTGTGCTTCTGGGCACAAAACTGCAATGAGGGCACGCTCACCCAATAAAGTTTCCAAAACAAAGAAACGTTTGACGTCTTCACTCTCCATCTGAAAACCCAGATAATAGTGAACCAGTGCCAAAATTCAGTCTCCCTGGGGAGAACGCTGACAAAAGCGGGAAAATAGGGACGACCAAGGAGAGTCCTAATTCGAACTTTGTGAGTGGTTGCGAACTTCCTCTATTGTGAAAGAAATGGCCTTTGAATGTACCAGTACCATTAACGCGTCCAGTGCACTTTTGTTACCGACAAGTTTGTTGTCATTACACTATCCTTGATGTAAACATATAATTCTCTCCTAATATTCACATAATTCTCAGAGGTAAAAATTTGGGTAAAATTCCCAAGACCGAGTTTCTATTAACTTCGGCATTTTGATAAATAATTCTCCAGTTTCCTTATAAGTAAACACAAGGTTGTTATTATTACAGTACATACTATTTATTTACAATAGCTAACGTTTGGCAGATTTCGCCTCCTTCAGTGAATAAAATGGTCAAGTTAACTGCAATTTGGTCAGCAAAAGGCCTCCATAACTCCAACAGAAAAACCAGGGTACCTTATTTTCTTCGGCAATGGAAATAAAACAGCTTCCTCATACACTCACTGTTTCCTGCGAATCTATGCTACTTTTCGCTTAAAATAATAAAAAACGCAAAATAACGATGACGTTAACGTTGGTGTCATTCATGGTGATTCATGCCAGTTACGGAACGATAGCGCCGCAGTCCAACGTGAACAAGCATTGGCCATCAGGTGATGCTCGACAGCCGGCCGGAAAGCTGGTCTGTTAGCAGACGTTGAGTCATCGCATGCCAATAGAAAAAAGACTGAAGCCAAATCCTAAGAATAAAAATATATGGACAAAACAACTTTGCATTGTTCAAATGAAAGGAAAAAAAATCAAGACGGGAAAAACGGAAAATGAAATCAAAAATTAAGTTATAGAGGATATCAAAAACTGCGAACTTTTTTAAAAACGTTCGATTTAGGAAAGTTAGATTAACAGCGGCGTTCTTTCTATGCTAACAAGTCAACAGAACCGAATAAACGCAAATGCGTCAGATTACTTAGGTTTAACCCAGCAAAGAATAAACCCATGACCACTTCTGCACTCTAAGGCACCTAGTGACCATTGGTGACAGTCTCTCCGCGAAGTCTCTCTTCCGGGGTGAACGCTTTACTCCCCGGGAAGGACAATAGCGCGTTCGTTCTCCACCGCAGACACCTGCTGTCTGGAGTTTTGCAAATATCTCAGCATTATAGTAGTTGTATTATTACAGTGTTCAAAATTGATATTTCAACACTGTGGACCATCGACTCGGATCATCGGCTCTGATGAAGACGAAACCGTCGAAACGTTAACCAAATAAAGACCTCATGTAAGCTTACCAAAGAAAAAATACAAATGTTCCGAACTGAGTTCTTCGAAGAAATGTGGAACGCGATAACTACAGACATCACGGTACAATGATGGACGCCATAAGTTCACTTGACCAAAATGTTTCATGTTGGGTCGTTTCGCTATAAGAGATGCAAGCCCGAACAAAAAAAAAGCAGAAGAATGGCTTCATAAGCTCCAAAAATTCAAAATTTTATCACCTTAAAACAATGTAAGCTTAATTTTGATAAGGGTCACTAGTAGCAAAAACGCTTAGAAAAAAAGAAAGCACCGCCGTAGCATCTGAGTGACATATAACTCATACACATCAGTGTGGCCCTTATTTATTGCTTAAATTGTCACTGCTAAATTTTAAACAATCGACCATTTGAACTACCATTTGTTCCTCATAAAAAACAAAGTCATGAAGAAATTTTCCCCTCATCCTTCGATAACATGTAGACCTTTCCTTGCCTCGTCATGGATGTCAGAAGCCTGGAATGAAGCAAGTGGGGGAAGGATCGTACCTACAGATAATCTACACTCAGGGTACCATTTTTCAGTGGTACGCACATTACTCCTTGTCAAAGCGCTGAAAACCCGTGGGTAGCGTAGAAACGAAAAAACGTGCTAATCAGTTCCAGTGCATCAACGGAGCGCAGAATTTCAATCAGTGAGCCTAAAGACTTGAGATATTTGACTATCACTATGGTACGCTACTTACTGATATTGACTGGCAATCGTTCCCGGTTACTACGACACATTTGGTAACTGGTTTCTTGACACATGGTGACCTTTCGAAAACGGTAAAACCGAACAATATTGCATTCTCAATCCAATGAAAAAAATTTCTTAAGTATATGAGTCACAAAAAGAAGCGTAATATCATTTCTTTTTCAAACGTGGGTCAACCAGGAAAGATCCAAAGCGGACTCGTTCGTAATAATATTGGTGAATAGAAACTGCGCATCATACCACTACACCATGACGTACGAAAAAGCCGGTGAAACGTGACGAACTCACCTTCGAACGAACGTCAGGATATGGGGAAAATCTCGTCGTATGGAACGTCGCAGGGAAGCGTCGAATGAAAAAAAAACACCGGAAACCGGTTTATTACATGAGAATGAAAAGCTGCACACTAATTGTATGTGCGTTAGCAATAGGATACTCTGAAATAATTGGTAAAAAAGACATCTGGACGAGTTACACCACCGAGGAAAAACCCGCGTTACGACAAATAAATAAGCTTGCAAGGCATCCGAATGAGTATAATTAGGATGTCCAGAACGACTTACTGAACGGAAGGAAAGTAATGCATTAATAATGTAACTGCGAAGACGTAATAGAATGCACTTCCTACAAAACATCCAGAACAATACTTAGATATTCGCAAAACTTAGAGTCCAAGGCAGATCGAACCACGATTTCCCTTTCAACAGCTCACGTATTACATACTCCGCCACGGAGGTCCTTGTTCTGCGTTTCTACCAATTAGTTTTCTACCCAACGCTGCCATCAGCAATCACCCGTCAGCCGGATTGCTTTGTGGAGCACAGAGCAGCAATGAACCCAGCTAGGATGAGGCTGTAGTCGAAATCAATGTTAATCACTTATTTTTAGGAAGAAAACTAAGAAAACTAGCTGAGAGAAACAGGGCAAAAGCCTCCGTTGAGCAGTGTGTAATGCTCGAGCCCACGGAAAAGGAATCGTGGTTCGATTTGGTCCGTGGTTCAAGTTTTGCGAATATCTCAGCATCGTTGTGGTTACAATTTACATCATACTCTGCCGTGAAAAACTGTAGTAGGCAGAAAATGAAAGGTTAACGCTACTATAAAGCAGTTGTAGTTTGATTACATTACAGAAGATTTCTACCGTAAAGTGTTAAGCCACATACAACAGCTCTAGCATAAAAATGCTACCTATTCATTGAAGATACTTCCCGATTTGTTTGGATGAGTACCGATGTCAGGCTTTTGAAAACACCATAGTCGAAGGATGGTGGAAGAAACAAATAAAAAAATGAGTTTCTTCTAACTGAATCAACTTCAAAGAAAAACACTTAGTGAATTGCGTAGAAAATGATGGTGATGAAGGTACGGACAGCGCGTGCGAATCGATGGGGTAGCGGATAGGGGCGAGGGAGGAGAGCAAGCACAGAATGGGAGCACACGGACTCTAGGAGTCGAGAGGCGATCTCAACTGGCATCAGATGTGTCCAGTCATTGTTACGTGTCTGAAACGTTTACATTTCAATTTTTCAAAAGTCTATAGTGCAGTCTATAGTTTATATCCTTAGCCTATAGTCTCTCTTTCATTAGTCTATATGACGGAAAATCACAGATGGTTCGTTACTTTGCATCCGTCAACCACCAATGTCTTCGAATATGCGCAAGGAGGGATTCGGCGGCTCCACTTGATAATTGTGTTTTTCATAGATGTCGTTGAATTTTAGTCGAGTTAATTCATTCTGGAATCCTTGGACAAGATGCGGTGTCCTCACGTCTGCACAAGCAGTCGCAGGGCCTTGTGAATAGGAAGTTGAGGTCAGAGACAAGTCAAGAATCAACTTGCTTATTTTGAAAGGGTAAGAGGTTCAGTTGGCCTAAGACATTGTCAAACCGGCGAATATGTGTGCATTGTAGTGTGACACCAAGAAGCACCACGAATCGTACACTGACGCCAAAAAGATGAAATATTCTAAAACCTCGTCATCTATTGAAGACGATCATTTTAGTAGCACTTTTCATAGTTCCTCTTCGAAGTCCAAGGAAGTTAGAAATTCAACCCACGATTTA